CAACTGACCATTAGCACTGTTCTGATATAGTGCCAATTAAGATGTTCTATAGATGAAATAGTGAATTCCATTGAAGATGAAAACATAAGCTTGTTTTAAGTTTGTACATATTCTAATTAATTTTGGAAATTTACTCCTACAGCAATCCCTACTGTAATATGCGCAAATCAGAGTCCAAATTTGACGTGTTTGTTAAAAAAGGTGATGGGGATCTAAGAAATAACTAAGAGAAAAACAGGAGTAGGAGAATGAGGAGGAAAGGGAGAGGTTGACATTTTATCATCTGTCCGAGCTAGTATATAGGTAATTTTTCAGGAATACATTACATACAATAGTTTAGCTACACACTGCATTATCTAAAGTGCACATAAAAAATTTACAGCTAACATGTACAGAAATTAATTTGAGATATTCTGTCCACATGGGTGATCCCCACCACAGGATGTATGCACACCTGTGCACTCCTGCCTGGAGCCCTTTCTGTGCAACCTTAATATAATTTCTTTTATTTTATTTTTTTCTCCTTATAAGAGTCCAGGACATATTTACATGAAAAATCTAAGCCTTATAATTTAGAGAATATTTTTCAACGGCCAATTATGAAAAACATTTTTTCAACCATCACCGTCTCACATAATTCAGGAATCTAGGTAGCTGAAGATGGAAAGAATACATCAAGGAGATGGAATTGATCTGTAATCTGAGAATGCAGAAATGCAATGATTTTATGAGTATTGTGTGACTTGGTGAATACAAGTTATTGTATGTTTGGTTATAAAACTTTCCCATATGAATAAACTGATTTAGCTTAACAAGGGCCATCACCGTCTCACATAATTCAGGAATCTAGGTAGCTGAAGATGGAAAGAATACATCAAGGAGATGGAATTGATCTGTAATCTGAGAATGCAGAAATGCAATGATTTTATGAGTATTGTGTGACTTGGTGAATACAAGTTATTGTATGTTTGGTTATAAAACTTTCCCATATGAATAAACTGATTTAGCTTAACAAGGGCACCAGGAAGAATCAGCAGGACGGAAAAGAAAATCACAGCACACAACTGAAGGACAATGAGCAAAGCTTTAAGAACTTTACAGACCACGTTTAAGGATCTTTTTCCAGAGTGAGAAATTAGAGATAAAAAAGACTTGACTTAGCTGTTAAATAGGGCTCTCCTGAACCATGGGAGACAGAAGATTTTACGAGTTAATGGGGCAAACTATGCCAGCCAAACTGTAGAGATCTTGGGCGTAAAAGGGGTTGGTATATAAGAAATGTAAATCATTGCACAAGATGACAATGTGGAAGGTAATTACTTATCTGGTAAATTAGATATCGGCTTTAAAAACCATTTTTATTTTGAATGCTTTTGTTCTAGGTAAATACGTTGTTTTAAAGAGGCTGTTGAGTCATTGCTCAAGGAAGGGACAGACTTGCAGGTGCTAGACACAAGACAGATCCTGTTCAGGTAATCTATGTTGATATACTAAACACTGCAACAAGACCTGGTTTAAGAATTTCAGCATTCCACTCCAAGAGAAACAGCAGCAAGAATATGGAGATGAACGAGGATTGGCATTCTAAGCGTCCATGAAGGCATCAAGGTGCAGTTAGCCCAGGCATTGTGACCTTTGTACCTAATGTCTAAAGGAATGCCATGGTATATTCCTTGGCAAGTTGGGGTTCCAATTACCTTGGAATTTTTGCACAAGTTGGTGCATTCTTCATTATACAAATGGGCTGAAATAAATCTGCCTGCCCATTCTACTTGCTACAGAGAAAACTTTACCAGTAAATAAGACAAGACAATATTTAAGTACACCATCAACTGATTTATGGGAAAACAGACATTTGGGGACTGTATTTTCATCCTACCTGCACTCTAACACTAAGCATACAAATTCATGGCTAATAGGATGGAGCTTCAGTGACTAGAAAACATTTTAAAAAGTTTTTCCTGCAAGAATATAGTTGAATTTCCTTTTGTGCGTTATTATTCTCTCCATTTTTCTTATGCTATTTGTCAATTTAATATGTTAATTTCCATTTACCCATACTGTTCCATTCAAAGATAGTCATACTGAATCTCTGGACCATAGCGCTTATTCAGACTTTAGTTCCACTAGTTCACTGCCTTTTTGCTTCATTTCCATGCTGTGCTTTCTTTTACTTCAGCTAATACTCTGACTCAGATTAGATTCAGTAACTCTAGAGATGATCTTCAAAGCTCATTTGAAATCCTCTCTATTCACCTACTTAATTTGTCAGCCATTGCATTCACTATCCTCTGCCTCATAAGTAATGCTGCTATATCCTGTTATTAAAATAATCTTCATTTATATAACCAATGAAGGTAACAGGACAAGACAGTCAAACAACTGGTTAATTATTACTGTATATATTCATACAGAGACAGCATCTTACCTTCTTGTGCATATAGCCACAATATTGGAGAAAATCCTCCACCAGACAGCAGTTTTTTAAATTTCAAGTATTTTATTTTATATTTATCTGTTGCAATACAAATCATCAATTTTTAAGGATACAATTATGTCATAGTGGTCTCAGCTGCCATAAACCTGTGAATGGTGCTATTTCCAGTTCAATTAAAAGGTAACCTCTGTCACTTAACTGTGACATTTCCTATTTACATGGATCCTACTGCCACATACTATCAGTACTTTAGTTCGCTTTACTCTAAGTGGGGTTCCGCAGGGGTCTGTTTTGGGACCGGCTCTGTTCAATATCTTCATCAACGATTTAGATATTGGTAAAGAAAGTACGCTTAAGTTTGCAGATACCAAACTGGGCGGGGTTGCGACTGCTCTGGAGGATAGGGTCATAATTCAAAATGACCTAGACAAATTGGAGAAATGGCCACTTAGGAAGGAACAATCAGTTTCATACATACAGAATGGGAAGCGACTGTCTGGGAAGGAGTACGGCAGAAAAGGATCTAGGGGTTATAGTGGACCACAAGCTGAATAGGAGTCAGCAGTGTGATGCTGTTGCAAAGAAAGCAAACATGATTCTGGGATGCATTAACAGGTGTGTTATGAGCAAGACACGAGAAGTCATTCTTCCGTTCTACTCTGTGCTGGTTAGGCCTCAATTGGAGTATTGTGTTCAGTTCTGCGCACCGCATTTTAAGAAAGACGTGGAGAAATTGGAGAGGGTCCAGAGAAGAGCAACGAGAATGATTAAAAGTCTAGAGAACATGACCTATGAGGGAAGGCTGAAGAAATTAGGTTTGTTTAGTTTAGAAGAGAGAAGATTGAGGGGGGGGACATGATAGCAGTTTTCAGATATCTAAAAGGGTGTCATAAGGAGGAGGGAGAAAACATGTTCATCTTGGCCTCTGGGGATAGAACAAGAAGCAATGGGCTTAAACTGCAGCAAGGGAGGTTTAGGTTGGACATTAGGAAAAAGTTCCTAACTGTCAGGGTAGTCAAACACTGGAATAAATTGTCCAGGGAGATTGTGGAATCTCCATCTGTGGAGATATTTAAGAGCGGGTTAGATAAATGTCTATCAGGGATGGTCTAGACAGTATTCGGTCCTGCCATGAGGGCAGGGGACTGGACTCGATGACCTCTCAAGGTCCCTTCCAGTCCTAGTATTCTATGATTCTATGAATATTAACAGGGCTCACCGAACCGCTCGCTAGCCGCGCATGTGCAAATCGCCCGAACCCTGCTCTTCCGGGTTACAATCTACTCGTCCGGGGTGAATAGATTGCATTATTTGTCGAGCCCTGAATATTAAAGTGAAAATGGAAATTAAACTTTTCAATTTTTCGGTAATGTTTTGGCTGAGGCAAAAGGAATTTTTGAAATTGAAATTTTAACAGCGAATGTAATTTTTTAAGATATGACATTTTCCTATGGCACAGAAATATTATGTTTCAACTACTGTTAACCTGTGCACAATTATGTTTATATATTTGAGTTGTTTAGGTTTTTAGGGTAGAAAGCTGTCTGTGTTCATTTGACCAGGTGATACAAATAGAATTTTATATGCTCTAAAACTGAATCCCAATTTTGATTTTCCCACCGAGGACCCTTTTAGCATTTGATTAAATATCCTAGATCCTTTTTATTTCTGCTTTTACCACAATGTATCCAAGCAGCATGTGTATGCTCCTGCCAGCATGACCTCTCACACAGTGCATTATGCTATGCAGAACAAATGACATCCTCCATGTGGCAAAGTGTCAATGCCGTACTAAAATGTCCTGGCCCTGCTTCCAGGGACAGAGCCCTGTATAACCCACAATGGACTGCCATGACCCAGGCACCTCATTATAGGAACCACTACTTAAGGGCTTTGTGAATGCCCTAGAACAGGAGTGGGAACCTCTGGCAGCTCACCTGGATCCAGCCCCAGAGGCTCAGATCCCCACCCCCCACCCGCATTGGTGAGTCTGCACCAGTGCTCCAAACCCCTCCCCCACCCTGCTGGAAGTTGGAGTGCACAAAATGTACTAGTCTGGGGCCCCCTAGACTTTGTTGTACAAGGGGAATGTGGGACTGGTCTTTCTCCTTCTCAGTTGGGGACCACAGTGAGGGATTTTTCCCCTTGCTTCTCACTTTTATGATGCCCTCAACTGATTTTTCTGTTGGTTAATGGCCTCCAACCCAAAAAAGGTTCCTCGCCCCTACCCTAGAAAGTAAAAGAGTACTACAGATTGCACAGAATTTGACAACAGTAGTATAGCATCCCTTTTAAAAATAAATAAATAAATAGCCAGAACTGCTGGGTCCTTTATAATGTTAATTGTAAATGAATGGGCAGGCTTTTACTATGTATTCAACATGGAATGTTCCAGATACAAACAAACAAATGTGGGCACTGTTTCATTACTATACATTTTCAAATATCCCCAGAACTACATTCCCTCACTAAACCAATTTCAAATCTGAATTTTTCAAAGCACTAAGTCATGAAGCCATATAGATGGCATGCGAATACCACCAACACAATACCACCATATTACCTCTTTCGCTGGCATCATCTACAAGTACAATTTCTTCCAGCAAGTGTCGTGGTGACCGATTTATCACACTATGGACAGTTCGTAAAAGTGTACTCCAAGCCTCATTGTGAAACACAATAACAACACTTGTTGTAGGAAGGTTGTCCAGATATACCTTTGTTTTACACCTGTGGACAGAAAGGTAAATCAAATACTTTAAAAGTTGGCTTATCTATTAATGAAAAGTTTTTATAACATTTTAAAAAGCAATTTCTGGGTTAACATAAAATACACCTATAATATTTACAACTTTAAAAATTAAAGACTAAATTTTCTGATTTTAAAATAGCAAATATGTTATAGCAGAAATGTATCTTTCTCAATGTGTGTTCCAGCTTTCTGTCTCTTCTTAACATACATTGGTATAAGAGTTAAGAAAAGCACTTGCCACTATTATGCTCAACTGTTCAAAATCATAGTAGAGGGCTGGGAAAGGATGGAGAACTGAATGATCCAGTGGCTTAAGTAATGGAATGGCAAGCTTTTCATTTCCAATGCAAGTCTTGCTCCCTGCTCTGGTCAGCAGCCTTATAGCTAACTATTCAGTTATGTGCAGTGCAGGATTAAAATGGCATCCTTGTTAAGACCACAAACAAAATCACAAGATGTGCATTTAAACTATTTTCTCATTTTTCTTGTATTTCCATCACATGCTTGTTTTGTGAATAAGGAGAATCCATCTCCAAGGATGCCACCTCTGAAAACATACAATTAGACCTAGGCTCATTTAAGAAAAATAGTTAGTTAAGCAAAAACTATACAGTCAACATTTTTACAACAGAAAAAAAAATCGAAAAATTAAAAGTATATTTGCAAAAAAGTAATTTGTTTGGAATATTGTATAGCTGAAGGAAAGAAAATCATTTAATATAGCTACTGTCATATTTAATATAAGATGGAATACTTTTTAATATTTTAGTAGTTCTCAAAAGGTTGTCTTATTTTGGCATTTCAAACAAATGGTGCTCAGCCTTTTTTTTTCCAATTCAAGCCCTGCAATCCCCCCCCCCCCACACTCCTCTGCATGGGCCAGGTACAATCGAGCTTTACATCACAATTCTCTGTAATATGAAGCGTGAACAAAGTTACCCGGCATATAACGAATATCACAAAATCTCTGGAAGAAAACATTATAGCCGTATGATGAAATGGTTATTTACTTTGTGGTTCTTTGAGATATGCTGTCCATACGTATTCCACTGATGGTACACAAACCAGTGAACTCAATTGTGGATTATTTTGTCCAAGAGTGTCTATTTGGGACTGTCTCTATTCCCTGAATGCCCTTGTACTCCCAACAATGGCATAACAGGGCAACTTCAACAATGCTTCAATTCCTACACCAATATAGAATCCAGCTGTTATGAGACATTGTTGAGGGAAAGGACAATAGTTTGTGGATAGCACATCTCAAAGAACCACAATTACCTTGTTCACATGTAATCCACTGATGGTGACTCTCCTCACTGATCAAATTTGATGGAGGTGTGCAGTGGGAGACTAAATGACTGTAAAACGATCCTCCCAAAAGGAGCATCACACCACGTTCAGTGGACAAAATGGATTTGAGTTTGCAAACGAAGGCTGTCTCAGGTTAGTCACTGTGCTATCAGAAGATAGTCTCAGAAAACCTCTTTCACCGCGAATTCTCTGAAATTACTTCAACTGATGAAACTAGCTCTTCTGAGATGGATCACAGAAAAAGGCACAGGAGGACATAGGAAGGGTGTGATATAGATTAAGTATCCCAGTTTCATTATCTCCATAACCCCATGGAAATGAGAATAGTCGTTGCTAAAAAGAGGGGAAATAACTGAATCCACTACAAGTTTTATAGAGCTCTGAACTCGAGTCAAATTTGTTGCCTCACTATAAAAATGGGTGCCCAGAGGATACTGACAGCTTTAACATTCGTCTGAAATTTCTGACATTTCCGCAGCAACTCAGAAGGTCTTTGAGTAATAAGAGAGTCCTAGCTTTGACCCAGGACCTAATATCGCTCCCCTGACCCTTCTCAGAATCCTTTGAAGTTTGGCACTGAACAAACCCCATCTAAAAAAAATATCCACAATAATCTATCCCTCCTATAGGTTGCTGGATGCTTATAGAACAGAATGACTGCGCCATGACCATATCCAATACAGTAATGACTGTCTAAAGAGAAGAGTGATCAGCTGGCCTTCCCAAATTTATTTAAATTCCTCTATATCCTATGAGATCCATAAGAAATTTAGATATCAAAGTCAAGCATTGCCAAAATCAGCTATAAGTTGGCAATTCCAATCTGTAAGTTTGCAGGAGGCTAATTACTATATCCAAACAGACCCAATATTTTTAGCTCCTTAACCCTCAGGGTAGATTTGGGGTACTTTTGCCTCAACATTTGATAGACTGTAGCTACAATCAGGGAACATGGAGCGAGGTGGTTATGAAGTTAAAAGTAGAAAGTGGAACTTGGTATTGATTCTCTGCACACTTGCATTTTAGAGCTATGTAGGCTGGCTTCTGCCAAAAGCAATTTTGAGGGATCTAGGATACATTTATGAATAGGCACCACTAGACAACCTGACATGGTATTGTGCAAAATTTCCAGGAGCTTGAGAGATCTCTTCTAGACCATTTCTGCTGGGATCTTCAATGTGTCCCGCAGCTCCAGAGCAACCCTTGGAAGGATCTGAAGTCATCTGGTTATAAGAATGACATGAGAGGGGATGACAGTCTCACTGGGAGACAATGTGAATGAGTACTTGAGAAGAGTCACTGGCTTGTAACTTCCTCACATTGTTCAAGATTCTCATCTCTAGGGGGCTTTTCTTGAGTAGTTTAAGTGCTAATCTCTGACAGAAAAGATGAAGATTTAATTTGAAAACACACTGAAGATGATTATCTCCTTGAAAATTGGAAGTCCCGTGGGGCCTGGTACCAAGAACGAGGGTCCCTGTGACTCTTAGGGTCAGGATAATGGAAACTGACCTAAATGATCTTTTAGAGATATAATTTATAGATCTTCATTCCAGGGAACGCAAAAAAGAGGAATCTACTACTACTAAAGGCTGAGGAGGAGGAGTTAACTATTGGACCTGACTGGCAGGATCAGTATATATACTCTGAATGTGACTTTTCACTGTACTTACACAACTTTTGAAAATGGATTTAGATGTTGCAACACTCAGATCAATGCCTTTAAATATCTCGGCTTTGTAGTGCATAAATAACACATTTCAAGTCTGATGGATAGCCGTATTAGTCTGTATCTGTAAAAAACAATGAGGAGTCATATAGCACTTTAAAGACTAATAGATTTATTAGGGCATACGTTTTTGTGGGTAAAACCCACTTCTTCAGACTAATTGGAGTGGAAATTACAGAAGTAGGGGTATATATAAGGAAGAAGTTTCTTGTGTTAATGATGCTAATCCAGTCAGGGTGGAAGTAGGTCATTCACAGCATTTGGTGTGGAGATGTGAATACGAAGAGGGGAAATTGCCTTGGTAATGTGCTAACCAACCGAGATCCTTATTCGGTCAAAAGTAGATAGTGCTGAATTTGCAAATAAATTCCAGTTCAGCTGTTTCCCATTGTAATCGGGTAGTGAAATTCTTTTGTAAATGAATGGCTACTTTCAAATCCGTTACTGAATGTCCCAGGAGGTTAAAATGTTCCCCTACAGGTCTGTGCGTGTTACTCTTCCAAGATTTTCTAGGCGTCTAAGGAATTAAAATCAATGATAAAGTCTAAAATTAATTATGTAATTAAAAGTTAAGTAGTCTAGTTCTCTATATATCATAATACTCTAGCAGCAACATGTGCACCCTACTTTGTATATCAATCATCAAATAAACCAGCCAGTCTAAACCTGCCAACACTTCATGGTTTCTCTTGGGGTTATAGATTTTCAGTTCCTCTTATCTGAAGAAAGTCTATCATATATGTGGACAGACTTTTCATCTGAAACTAAAGCAGCAGCACTCCTGTTTGCTACTGAGGCTATCAGGGCAGAAGCAGTTCCAAAATAACTCTACACTTCCTGTTGCAGCTCCCAGCACTACCCCCACCTATGGCCTATAAGCAAGTGAAGAGCCTCCCCATGGCTGCTACTCTCCACAGGGCTGGGTAATGGAGGTTGAGTATCCTCCCCCTTGACCTGCTTTTTCTCTCTCAAGGCTGGCAGGTATTTGAAAAGCTCCCAGGCACTACTTTCCCCCAAAAGATGCAGAAGGTGGCTTAGGGGGGGAGTGGGAGGAGGAGACTATTTTACATTGAAACTGTGCTGGAAGTTTAGGTTTTAAAAAAAAAAGAATAAAATCAGTGGCTTTAGTGACACATTCTTTTGAAATTAAATGCTAACACTGATAGGGAAGATGAGAGAACATGAAACACTACGGTCTCTACTTTTCTTCTTGCACCTCTCTAGAACTAGATGTATTTATGCAAGCTTATGTGAATGTTTGCAAACTGGTATCTTAAAACACTACAATACTGGAAGACATGCACTGCACGCACGCGCACAGAGAGAAGGAGGAATGATAAATAGAAGACCATTAAAAATCTAATAACTCTGACATGATCATTAACCCCCTCAAACTATTACCATAACTTTGTCATTATCCAAGAATGGAACAATAGTTGTGTCTATAGACAGATATATCATTACTTTATAGCAGGGATCATCTCCTTTCTGTATATGAAACACATCAGTACAACAGGAAATTTTATCATAATATAAATATTTAATAACAAAATAGCTATATATGTTACTAGAAATGTTCCTACTAATGTTTATAAAACCACAGTTCTTAAAAGACATAAAGGTATGAAGTGAGTCTATGAAAGATTTTTTTAAATTACATGTATTTGGTCCATGTCTGTACATTTTAAATTATTCAAATAGCAGAATGGCATACCTTTGGGGCTGGGCATTTGACCAGTCTAATCATAAGTGGCCAAGCGATTAATCAAATAAGGTCTAAAATGGTCAAATACTTTAAAGCAGTTATCAGAACAAGAAAGAACGAACTACATAAGTTTCTATCTAAGGCCAAGTTTTTTGGAGACTAAGTCCAATTACAACAAATTATTTATCTAACTCACAAGAGAGTTAAATTAATAGTTAATTAGTTAGCATTTA